ACATTAGTTTTTCATATCAATGGGCAAGTGGTCTGTACTGTTGGGCACTCAAATGTGGGTGCTCTACTCTTAGGGAGACACATTAGTTTTTCATATCAATGGGCAAGTGGTCTGTACTGTTGGGAACTCAAATGTGGGTGCTCTACTCTTAGGGAGACACATTAGTTTTTCATATCAATGGGCAAGTGGTCTGTACTGTTGGGAACTCAAAGGTGGGTGCTCTACCCTTAGGAAGGCACAGTAGTTTTTCATATCAATGGGCAAGTGGTCTGGACACTGTTGTACAGCTGGCACTCTTATGTACTGCTTGGTACATATAGTTAATTAGCAAGATAATTAATAAAATAACGCATTACTAGTAATTCTCTTAGTGTGGTGTGACATGTCTATGAATGTAGTTGATGTTCCTGAAGATGAGAGTGTCTTGTTTGTTTTTGTCAACAAAATGGAAATAGAACTACTTATAATTTTTAAAAAGCCATATATGATAATATATCTAAGTTAATTTATAATCTTTAGAATAGAAAAAGTTCAGACACTCTCAAGACTATTGAAATATAAGTTCTTATAAATACTATTCTTAATGTGATATATTTCTGTCCGCTACTACAAAAAAAAAATAATAATAATATTTCTTTCTGTATTATGATGACAATCATGTGACATATACCAAAACATACCGAAATGGGATATCCATTATTTCCAGTTAAAAAAATGGGATATCCATTATGTCATTTGGGTAATTGAACCAGTTGTTTTAAATTAGCGTCAATGGACTTAAATTGTGACATTTTAAAATAAAATTTGTCTTGTGTTAATACTCGTGAAGCTCATAAATAGTCACAACGAACGATTTTACAGCCAGAAATCTCAAGCGGGCATCTTGATCATGGCTAATATAACAATCCATTTATTGTGCATTCAAAAAATAATATTTTCAAGAAATGTGTAGTATTTGACAAATGGATTATTATAGTAAACAGGATTTTTTCAAAAATTATTTATATTGATTGTCTATTTCTTTATAATTGTTTCACTGGCATTTGGTTTCCAAAATGTAGATTTTTATTTACTCGCGTGTGTTGTATTAATTCCTTTTTACTACCAAAGTTGGCCGCTGTTATTGTTGTTGTATTTTTCACTGTGAGCTGTATGTCCATGTAATGTTGCCATTGTTTCATCAAATATGTAGCTAACAGCAGCCATTACTGGTCAGTGTCAGTGATCAAGAAAATCTCAGTTTGTATAAGACTATTGTAAATGTCACTCGAGCCATTAGGAGAAGCCACGCAGCCAGAGGCCCTGGCCAAATAACAGGCCTGGCTTACCCTGTGGGCTTTGGGTCAGACCAAGACCGGAGTTTTTACCGATGGATTGGACATGGAGATCACTGGAACATTTTGGTGTAAGACAGTGTGCTGTCTGATGCCTTTTTGGGGAAATGTAAAAGTAAGACTCTGTTTAATTATATTAAAGAGTTCAAAGTGTGTTTAATGGTTTTTAAAGTAAGGGTAAAGAGATGCCAATCAAGCTTTTGACTATATCATTAATCTAAGAAATTTGCAATTAAATGTAAATGCTTTATTTATCACTTTTAGGATGATGTATAATAGTGTCGAATGGTTTTTGTAAATAACTGCCACAGGGTAGCGAGAACTTAAGTCTCAACCAACCGCACTCCCAAAGACCGCTACCACAATACATAAATATCTCTTGCACTCCAAAAATCCTTACAAAAGAAACAACATCAACAAAACGAACAAACAAACAAGCAACAAACAATAAATAAATTATAACAATAACACATATCTGAGTTAACGAATTTCCAGAGTTAATATCAAAAACTGCCATGTACAATTTTTACTGCTCTAAAGAAAAAAGAAATAATTAAATGTAAATAGGGATTTTTTTGCCATTAACTGAAGTATACAAACATACTTTTAACATCCTATGTAATTGATATGAGCTAAGGCTTGGACAGAAAGATCTCACTCTATGTAGGAATGTTCAGCAGATCTACTCAATTAGATACATTTACCAAAGAAAAACAGTAGGAATTAATTCCGTACAAATGGAAACTTATATCTGCCGCCAAAGACTGCAGTCAGATTCACTCTTTTACCGCTAATCATTAACATTCTTGACAAAAGTCATTAACGAAAAGTTTTTCTTAACTTTTAAAAAATGGATTAATAAAAATAATCATCAAAATATTGATGATTATTATTAAAAGTAATGTGCTTTTTCCTCTTTAGCTGCTAAGCAGTATCCCCACCCCCTTTTAATTTCCTTATTTATTTATCTTAAATTGTCGGTCCTATTATCGCAATCAATTGAATATATTAATGTATATGATGTTTTAATCTATTTCATAGATTAAAATTTATTTTTAAAATGGTAAAAAATTGTTTTTAAAATGTGTTCCATTAGTGTATGTTATCTACTTTTGGACGCTGAAACCATTTTCAATATAAAATTAATGCATTGTGAACGGCCCTCACACCATTTTTAATAACGCAGAATTATGGAAATAGCTGACGGGACTTCTGAATGAAGCAACGAGAAAACGGCTTGAAACTTTCGGGAATAACGGCATAATGCAGTTTTCTCAAACAATTAGTATTATGCTGCTATTCACGAGACTAAACTTGCCATGAACGACAAATTGTAAACCACACATCAACGACGAGAATTGTCCACAGAAAGCAAAGACAATATAAAAGAAACCAGGAGCAAGTAAGTAGTATTCAATAACACAAGTGCATTTACATTAAAAACAAACAATTGGGCCTAGCCAGTGAATATTTAAAATATGCCATGTGGTAAAGGGAAAACATTTCTATTTTTTCTATGATCTACTTCTACAATCTCATGCCCTGTCCGTTCGTTCACCATACAAATTAAAACTATATTAAAACATTACTAAATCAATTTTGCCCCCCCCCCTGGAAAGTTAATCGATTTTTTGCCCCCCCCCCCAGAAAGTTTTCTGCGGGCGCCCATTGAGCCATAACCCGCACAGGTCCCACTCCACGCTTCCAAACACACTCGTTCGTTCACCATACAAATTAAAACTATATTAAAACATTACTAAATAAATTTTGCCCCCCCCCCTGGAAAGTTAATCGATTTTTTGCCCCCCCCCCCAGAAAGTTTTCTGCGGGCGCCCATTGAGCCATAACCCGCACAGGTCCCACTCCACGCTTCCAAACACACACACAGCATTTTAAAAAATCGCTTCGTCTGCTAACTTGGACGGGCGACCTGTTTTGTAAAGCAAAAGACGGATGACTGTGTTGTTGGCAAATCAAACAAACATTTCCGGCCATAGGCGTGAAGGAATCTTTGAGTCTTCGTGGTTTTGCTGCATAGCTCTTTAGATGGATGTGTAGATTTAAGAGGTTTCGCTTTTTTCTTTTTAAAAATGCTGAACACAGTAATCCGTCAAAAATGACGGGATAATAGTAAGAAAAGTTTTATCAAATTCATTTTTTTTTAAAATTAATATATTATTTATCTTGAGAAAATGTACACCTTTAATTATGTCAACAAAATGGGGGGGGGGGGTGGGAATGTTTGACAATTGTTGACAAGGGGGAGGGGGTTAGATTAATTGACGTAAACAAGCATGTTTTCTGTATTAAAATTTTCATCTTAAAAATCGACTGGTTATTACATTATTTTAACAAATTTAATAAGTGTGAATTAAAATATTTTTAGGCCTGCAACAGTATAAGATTTATTTAATGTTTGTCTGTCTGTGCACTGCAGATGGCTGGTCAGAATTTTGGCACATTTTGTTAGTGCAAGAGAAGTCAAAAGTTGGTCTCACTTCACCTGCAGATTCTATTTGTCGCAAAAGACTGGGGCAGTATGTTTGCGATCGCGTTGCAGGTATGGAACAAGGATAACGCTCAAGTTTCATGTGCAGTTAAGATAAATGGTATTGATAGAGTGAGCATACGGTATTTTGAGAATTAGTTTTGAGAATTAGGGGAAAGTAAAGTGAGTAACAATAATAACATCGCTGCTTGAACGGATTTGCAAAATCTGTAACATCTATTTTGCATCACAAGTCATGTTGAAAAACCAAGTTGAACAGCACCGACAATGCATAAGAAATTACCCTCTGCTCCTCAACAGAAAGGGATTCGACTAATGCAAGTAGCTGCCAGGAGACAGAGAGAGCTTGTAGCAATTATTGCTCACACTGACAATGCTTCCATTTTAAGTGCTGAACGGTTATATGAGGGTGATGTTGACTTGTCTGGTATATCAGTTCCGCAAGATCAAAATGATAAATCAGCTACTATGCCAATAATTACGATTGAGCAACACCTGGCTACTCCCTGGGAAGATGATATCAGCTAGAAACTATGTTACGATTGTCAGCTATACTGATACTAATCATATTTCTACTTCCACAAACAATGATATTTAGTCTTTAACAACCTTTTCATTGATTCTGCATTATAAAATTTAAGTGTAAAAACTTTTTAACTTATTGATTAACAAGCTAAAGATGCAACAAAATTTTTTCCTACAATTTTGTGTTATTTAAATAGATCGGCAAAAAGTAAAATGTATTTATATATTTATTTATATTATAATTTATTTTTTTAAGGGGGGGGTGGGGGGTGGGGGTGATACAAATATTGATATAATTAATTAAGGGGGGGGGTCATTGAAAATTTAACAGTTGTTTAACGGGGAGGGGTTAAAAATTGCTTAAAAATTGTTGACGTAATTAATGGACGCCCCCATATGCATCTTTAACAAAATATGTAAGTAACTGAAGGAAAAAAGGTATTTTAAAAAAATTATTTAACAATTTAAAAATATAAATAAAATAACAAGAACAATTAAAACAGTCAAGAAAAAAATGTTGTTTAATGTATATAATTTATTTTATGAAATCGCACAATTGATTGAAAAAAATTCACAAGTTATAAGGTAAATGAAATTATCAAATTCCTTTTTGTTAAATCGTTTATGAAAAGCTACTTTAAAAAATCGTAAAATAATGTCATAAGTCGATCCGTCAAGTCATTTATTGTCATCTGTTTGATTTCCTATCATCATTATAGAAGTTTGAAGTCAATTAAACTGTCCTTATTAGTAAGTCGATAGTTACTCGGCTGCTTGGATGAAGTCTCGTGTAATGTTACTTTGTAGAGATATAACGGTTTCATGTTTTGTTGTTCATATTTTAAAGTCTTAAGCCATTGTTTACTTGTTGCGTATATTTTGACTGTTGTCACTCATAATTTTTTTTTTCTGTTAGTCTATGTCCAATCATACCTTCTAAACTCTTGCTGAGAGACTTGGTCACAACATCCACGTCTCAGTGAGATGGTGATTCTAGTGGGTGGTTTTAGGTGTTCGATTGGTTTTCTGAGAGGGTGTGTCTGAGAGAAAGTGAAGAAATCAAATTTCCTGTCACGCATTATATTCGAATGGTCGTTAGGAATCATGTTCTTTTTATCTCTGTGTTCATGCTCTCCTAAAATTAAAGTTTTCAACAAACTTAAGAATGTGTTTAAAATGATTTAGCCAAAGATAAAAGTCATAAAATGCCATGAGAGATAATTAAGCCTTAAAACAGCTGATAGTGTCTCGTTCGTTGATCGCCTTGGTTGGAATCCCTTGCCCGAACATACCATCTCTTCCAACCTTATCGTAATTACGGGCATTGAATGCAGCCAGACGTGCAGCGTCTTTACGGAATGTTGACAAATGAGGTTGTGCCTACCAGGAAATTTTGTAAAGAGACATAATATTTTAGTGCGGAGTTTAATTTTTATATTCAGATAAAAGAACAGTACTGTGAATAAAACCATAACCTTTTAAAATCAAGGGGGCGTAACTATAACTATCTCAAATCTTTGACATCTATACTATCTGCTTTAAAAATTGCATGATCACGTTAGTTGGTCTAGTGTACAGTTTCTGAGCAGATCTCTGTATTAAGACATACTTGTGTTTTTTTTGTATCTCTGTATTGATATATGGCTATGGTTCAATTCTCTCTGTATTAATATATGGTTATGGTTCAATTATATCTGTATTAAGACATAGTTGTGGTCCAATTATCTCTGGTTTATGTCAAGAATGTGGTTCAATTAAAGAAGAGGTGAAAATCAGGATCATTGATGCTACCAGGTCAAGATGGGGATGGGACCATTATTTGAAATCATTTTGCTGCTGATTCTCAATTGTTTTATTTACATAAATGGTTTATGTCTCATTAACTAATTAAAAGCTCTATTGCAGTACAACCCTCTTATAATTAGTTAATTCACAAAGTATAGTGGAACCCCGCTATAATGCTATAATTTTGGTTCAAAAATCGGATCGCATTAATACGAGGTAACGTAACGGGGCCGGAAACAGGGGGTGGGGGTGGGGGGTGGGGGAGCAGGGTTGCCAACTCAATAAAATAACATTTACTGACAAATATAAAAACTCTCAACAAAATTTACTGACAAAAAATTTTTTTTACTGACACATTTAACATAAAATGTTGACCTTAAAACGGACGAATATGAAGCATAATCCAAGCATTGTCGCTAAAAAATGTAAAGTATCCATATGAGTACGCCTCTATTACCATGCTCATATTTTATAACGTTAGTTTATTGTATGACATTCATCATCAGTGACAGTGTTAAATTCCTCCTGCTTATGATCATACATAGAAACATTTACACTGTCGATCATTGTGGGAGTAATTTTTCCCTGTCCATTTCCAACATTTGAGAAGACAATTTGTTTCTCAAGTTGGTTTTCAATAAACTAACAGCAAAAAAACGTGTTCTACTTCTGCTGTTCCATGTGGAAGCGCCAACAATGTTTGTGCAAACTTCGAAAGTAGCGGAAATCTGTACTCTTTGTTTTCGATATTTCTAGTCATTTGTCCAATTTGATGCCAGAAAGCATCATAACCTCCGTCGGCCTTAACATTGCTTAAATCCGCAACTTGGTAGTCAATCAACTCGGCCTCTAAACTATCAAAATCTGCTGGAGACACAATTTGTGGAAAAAGCTGGGCTAGTTCCAAAATTTCCGACTGTTCCACCGATATTATGTTAGTGTGTTTTAGTACTGACATGAGCTTCAGCACTGACTGCTTTGGTATAAAATGCAAGAACATCAACATAAAACTTTTCAACAGTCGATGGATCATCTACTTTTCGCAGCTGTAGTTTAGTTTGATAACCAATGAATATGTTATCGCGTGATTTAAAGTTTGTACTGTCCAAGTGATCAAAACTCGTTAAGTCTTCAGCTAACAACAGTACCTGTGGTCGTATATAGTAACCCAACACACTTTTTAACAGTTGATTTGCCTCTGCATATACATCTGGTAAAATCGGAGAATTTTATTTAAACATTTGTTGAACTGAGTAAACATAGGCAGCACTGCTTGCAAAAACAAAAAATAACATTTAACGACAGGATTTTGCAATTGAGTGTTAATTCTATCCACCGTAACCAACCGGTCACACTCATCACTTGATTGAAAATAGCTTGAAAGTGCATCATATTGGTTAACAATACGATTAATACACTCCAACAGACTCAACCATCTCGTGGAACACAGCTACAATATTCGTAGAGTGCCTGCTTCCACGAACTCTTGAAACTCTTTGTACAGCTGTAATCTTTTGCAACTATGTGAAAAATGGCTGTGAATGTCTCTGCATAGCTGTTCAATAAATTTGGGAAATGTTTTACATGCATCAGCGGCACATAGAGCAGCTACATGGCATGTGCAGTGTATATGAAATATATTTGGTTGTACACTTCTGAAACGTGAAAGCACGGAATTTTTGGCTCCAATCATTACGTTAGCTCCATCAGTTCCAAGTGCCATTACACTGGCCAGTGGTATTTTATCTTCGTCCAGACATGCCTTGATTGCAGCAAAAATGAACTCTGCTTTTGCTTCTTTTAAATCAACTAAACGATAAAATCTATATTGAATCTTACCAATTTCAACATCGAAGTAAATCACCACCATGGCCATTATTTCTGTGGTTGATATATCAGTTGATTCGTCAACCAACAAAGTAAAATGACATGATCTCAACTTAGTGGACAAATCTTCTTTGTTCAGTTCGCCAATAACATTTTTAATCGTCATAGATCCCTTTGTTCGTTTAGAGCTGAAATCTTTAGCAATTTTTGAATCAGGAAACCAATCTGCAACATTTTCCGAGATGTCGTCCATTAAACTTAGTGGCAAGTTTTTTTTTGCGACAAAATTTGCCACTTTTAATTCACATTCTGTTACCTGTTTGTTGTGAGCAGTTACAGGACATGGTTTTTTATCCTTAGTCAAGAACTGCAACATTCCACCAGCAAATTTCCTTGTTGACATTGCCTGAATATGTTTTGCGTTTCCACCGTGGCTGCGAACGTCTCGTACACCACCAGATGCAACACTAAATATCTTTCTACAGCACGTACATACAGCGTTATACTTGGAATCATTGTCCGTTGATATCCAGTCCTTAAAGTCGCCTTTTGCAATCCATGTAGGTTGAAAATAGCATTTTCTGTTCACTTTTGCTTTTTTAACAATAATTTTATCCGCATTTTCGTTTATTTCACAGTTTTCACTGCGGCTATCGTCTTCGCTTGTATTCATCTTCTCCGCCATTTTTTAAAAACAGATACTATTTATAAAATATTTATGTCGTCATAATTTATGCATAATTGTGACGTTACGACCAACGATCTGTCTAAACAAGTCCATCTTGTGATGCGTCTCGCGCGCGAGCCTAGCTGTCCAGAAAGCTCTTACAGTTTATTAACAGAGCGCGGGATGCCACTCAATTTAACAATTTAAAAATTAAAATTTCAATCAAGAAAATAGATATCACAAACATGACTTACTGGGTTTTTTAAACGTTGAGATTCCATGTTTTGTCGATTTTTTTTCGGACGTCTTAATTTTTTAACGGAATTTTACGGGCAGGCAATTTTACGATAAATCTTTACGGACTGTTCATAAATTTACGGACGGTTGGCAACCCTGGGGTGGGAGGGGGGCGACACTTTAAAGCGTAATTCTTTTTAGAATATACACGCTTATGCCCATACATCCACGTAGCAACTTATGACGAACTAATAAACAAACCTCCAAACAAATTTTGACCTTTGCACAAATATATAGATTTTCTTGAAACTTAAACATACTTCAATGACCTGTGTATTTTATAACCCCTGTGTAATTAAATTATTGTCTTGATCATCGTGATGACCGTTGTGGAAACGGCCGCCAGCGAAGCGTCTCGGTGACGAAAGGGTGGCGGCCGAACGAGGCATCGAAACGGCGGTGACAAAAAGTGCGTCAGTGAAGTGGTGGCGGCGATTAGTCCTAGAGCCAAATCGCGGAAAATAAAGAGCCTTGATTTTTTTTTTTTTTGGCTGGCATCCGTCCGTGACAAGCCTATATTATAGTCTGGGACCAAAGTCTGAACTGTCCACTGCCCACTATGATTCTACTGTAATTTTCACTCTCTACATTGGACCCCAGGCCAAGAAACCGTAGTATACTTGCTGACTGAGAGCTTCAAGCCTGACCTTGGGAAGGTTAGAGGGGCGAAAGGGTTCTTACGTAACAGATTGACAAAGTACTAGCCGCGGTCATCTAGAGCAGCGTTCCCTAATGGTGATCCGTGGACCGGGACCAGTCCACGAGACTTACGTTGCCGGTCCGCAAAACATTAGTAAAGAAATAGTGGCAAGTTTACATGTTAGAAAGTATTGTCAAACAAAACCTCATCAAATCGAGATTGCGTATGGTATAAAAACACCCTACGTAGTACGCATCAAGTGGAGCCTGGAAAGGTGACGCTATGTGCCAGCTAAGAAAATTAGGAAAGTGAAACCTTTCAATTTGGTCAAACCAATTTGAACAAATAATTGGCGTTTATTCATTCCTAAACTGGCAACACCAAAAATGATTAGATGCAAAAAAGGAAAGATCGTGGATAGCAGACATAAAAGTTTGAAAAGGGGACTGAATTCAAGTAAACAAAGGGGAAATCCCTATTGTGCTATAAATTTCGACTCCTTGGATGTCCAAATAAGCAGGCAAGTTTGTATGGTTTTTTTTCAAGCGATACACTTTTCCCCTGAAGGGGACACTCCAACATGATGCGACACACTTTGGAACGGTCTTACATATAGAGTGTTTATGAACACTACATTATTTTTGTGGTAATTAAAAATCGTCTGCGACTTAAATATTTCATCTTTCATTTATATTTTATAACACAATCACTGCTTCCGCCAAGATATCCGTTCAAATGCAAAATACTGTTATGAAAGGAAGCATGCGGGACTAAAAACAAAAATGCCACAAATTAATGTTAAATGCATGAAGCATAAATGGTTGTTCTTTTCTAGCTTCATATTATTATTACTAGCCGATATACTCGGCGTGGCAGGGGATTGCATTAGGACCCCATCCTTTTCGGACACCGATCCCATTGTATCCCCAATCGCATTCTGACACCGATCCCGCGCTGTCCCGTTTTCCGGTATGATCCCGTTCCACCTAGGGACCCCTTTTTCGGATGTGATCCAGTTTCACGATCCCGGTTTTGTACTGTTAACGTTACCGTTGGATCCAGTCTACTGTTGGAGCTTGATCCCCATTAAGACCATGTTCCTCTATGGGATCATGCTAAGAGCGATTTATTTCGAATAAGCTTTTGGATCCTATTATATATACCCGTTGAACAATATAGACCCTTCTGGAACATTCTAGATTAGATTTACTATCCTCTATAAAATGAGTAAAAATTACTTTTCTACGTAATGATTTCTCGAATGCGAAATATTATACAACTTATCGGTACTACTATAACTATAGTACATTTAAATTGAAATAGGGGCCCCAGTCAGAGCCCATTTATTAAAATACCGTTTTAGTTATGTCTGATATGTGTGTGGGGGGGGGGGAGGGGGCTATAAAAAATGATTGAGATATATTATAGAGTTAAAATTTGAAATTTGTCCCATTAAAATCGGTTTAAAATGCCATAGATATCGCTTTTTAAAAATTATAGAACGTTCTAGAAAATTCAAGATCGGCCCTGCATGGATTGGATATTCTTAATTTTAAATCCATCGATATTTCAAGAAGAACAATGAAGTGTTTTGATACCAAGCTTGGCCAATATCAATCAATTTCTCTAAGCCAATTGATATTTATATAGCATACATTAGGAAAAATCAAATGGACCCCCGGTCCCAGAAGAAATTGATATTATGAGTTCAGTACCCTTATGTATTTGAATATTGATAATCAAATATATGTGTACTAAGTTTGGTCAAGATCCATCACTTCAAGTAGGAGTACTAAGCTTATTGGTATTTATATGGCTTATATAAGAAAAAAGGAAACGGGGCCTCCGGCCCCAGAGAAATGTATATTATGAGTTCAATAACCTTCGATATTTTAATATGGATAATAAAGTGTATGTGTGTGTACTAAGTTTGGTCAAGATCCATCCATTCATGTAGGAGTATTTCTTAGTATTTTTTCTATATAGCTCATAAAGGAAAAAACGACATTTTGGGCCCCGGGCCTCAAACAGAATGTTATAAAAAGATCATAACCCCTTAACAGTTCCTTCTGGATGATGATGTATTTATGTACCACGTTTGGTCAAGATCCATCAATCCATTTAAAAGCCTTTGTGGAACAAACCCACAAACCTTCACTTTTATATATATATACTAGCCGATATACCCGGCGTGGCCCGGGATTGCATTAGGACCCCGATCCTGGAGGGACCCCGATCCCAATGGGAGCCCGATCCCATTTTGACGCCGACCCCGGCGCAATCCCGTTTCCAGGTGTGATCACAATCCCGATGTTATCCCATTTTCTTTTGGCTTCGGATCTAGGGGGAATCCAGATCCCGGTGGGATCCCGATCCCGTCGGTACCTCGATTCCGATAGGATCCCGATCTTGGTGTATCCCGATGGTATACCGATCCCGTTAGGATACCATTTTCTAAGGGATCTCGTTTCAACTAGGGACCCTTTTTTCAAATTTTATCCCGTTTCACGATAGGATCCCGATCCTGGTTTGATCCCGATACCCGATAGAATCCCGTTACCGATGGGATCCAGTATACTAATGGATCTCGCTCCCCATTAGGATCTTGTTCCTCAAAGGAATCATGCTCAGTGCGATTTTGTTCGAATTAGCGTTTAGATCACGTTATATTACCCCTTAGAGCAGTGGTTCTCAACCTTTCTAATACCGCGACCCTTTAATACAGTTCTTCATGTTGTGGCGAGCCACAACCACAAAATTATTTTGGTTGCTACTTCATAACTGTAGAGTACATGTGTTTTCCGGTGGTCTTAGGCGACCCCTGGGAAAGGGCCTTGCGACCCCCGAAGGGGTCGCGACCCACAGGTTGAGAACCGCTACCTTAGAGCAATATAGAACTTCTGGAAGATTCTAGTTTTAATTTAATATGCTCCATAAAACCTGTACAAAACTACTTTTCTAAGTAATTCTTTTTCAAATACGAAATATTTTACAACTAATTTGCACTACTATAGCTGTAGTACATTTAAATTAAATAGGGGCCCTATTTAATAAAGTACCTTTCAAGTTATGTCTGAGATAGAGGGGGGGGGGGTTATAAAAAATCATTCAGATAAATTATAGAATTAAAATTTAAATTTTTTCCTATTAAAATCGATTTTAAAAATGACATAGATATAGCTTTTAAAAATTATCGAACTTTCTGGACAATGCTAGAGTGGATATTTTAGTTTTCAATATACCGATATTTCAATACAGACTAAGAAGCGTNTTTATATAGCTTATATAAGGAAAAATGAACTGCCCCCCCCCCCCCCCCCCCCCGCCCAAGAGAAATGGATATGATGAGTTCAGTACCCTTCGGTATTTGAATATGGATGATCATGTGTATGTGTAATAAGTTTGGTCAAGATCCAACCATTCATGTAATAGTGTTAAGCCTATTGATATTGATATAGCTTATATAAGGAAAAATGAAATGGGGCCACCGGCCCCAGAGAAATTCATATTATGGCTTCAGTTCCCTTCGGTATTTGAATATGGATAAACAAGTGTTTAATATGTTCTAAGTTTGGTCAAGATCCATCCATTGACGTAGGAGTATTGTTTAGTAATTTTATTTATATAGCTCATATAAGGAAAAAAAACGAATTCGTGGTCCCCGGCCCCCAACGGAATGTTATAAAAAGTTCGTAGCCCCTTAAGAGTTCCTTCTTTATCAAGATGGGTATATGTGCCAAGTTTGGTCACGATGCATCAATCCATGTAAAAACGAATGTGGAACAAATCCAGCCAGCCACAAACAAATTTTTACTCTCATATATATACTAGCCGATTTACCCGGCGTTGTACGGGAGTGCATAATGACCCCGATCCTGGTGTGACCCCGATCCCATTCTGACACCGATCACATGCGCAGTCCCGTTTCCCGATGTTATCACGATCCCAGTGGATCCATTCAAGGTTGAGATCCCTATCCCGGTGGGACCCCATTTTCTGATGGGATCCTGATCCCGTTGGCATAAAGGTTTTTATGGGATCCCGACCCCTTTGGGATCCCGAATAAAAATTAATCAGTTTTACAGAGAATTTCAATTTTGTTATGCCTAAGATAAGGGGCCCTATAAAAATCAGTCAGATCAATAATAAAGTTAAAATTTAAAATTTGTCTCATTAAAATTTACTTTAAAATGCCATTGATATAGCTTTTTAAAATTATCAAACTTTCTGGATAATTCTAGATTTGATAGTATTAGTTTTAAATTCACCGATATTTCAATACGGACTAAGAAGCGTAATGAACAAAGCTAGGCTTAGATCAATCAATTAACATAGAACCTATACCGTTGTCTAAGCCTATTGATATTTATATAGCTTATGTAAGAAAAAATTTTAACTGGGCCCCCGGCCCCAGAGAAATTCATATTATGAGTTCAGTACCCTTAAGTATTTGGGTATGGATAATAAACTGTATGTGTACTAATTTTGGTCAAGATCCATCTATTCATGTAGGAGTATTGTTTAGTAATTTTATTTATATAGCTCATATAGGAAAAAACGAATTCGGGGCCCCCGGCCCCTAAAGGAATGTAATAAAAAGTTCATGACCCCTTAAGAGTTCCTTCTTTATCATGATGGATATATGTGCCAAGTTTGGTCAAGATCCATCACTCCATGTAAAAACGTATGTGGAACAAATCCAGCCAGCCACAAACAACCAAACTTTCACTTTTATACATATATATGATATGATATATGATATGATTAGTGGTTTTATATAGCGTGGTACCCCAGCCTAGGGCTGGAATCACCACGCTGTACATACAATTTAACAATGAACTTTAAAAAATAATTAACATTCATTAAACATAAGGTTGCATATCGAATTGAAAAAGCTCCAAAAACATACACTAGCTGTGTCATCGCGGGATGTGTTAAAGATCTCTGCTTAGAAAACTTTGTGTAAGCCAATGTGCTAAGAGAACTCATAAAATTGGTAAATTGGATTAGTCACATGAGGCGCTTCCTAACAATTGATGCAACAAAGAGGCTGATGTCTGCATTTGTGCTATCACGCATGGACTATTGCAATGCTCTCATGGTGGGTCTTCCAGCTACGCTCCTGGATAAAATTCAAATAGCACAGAATAATGCGGCTCGCATTGTTCTCCGCAAACGCAAGTTCGACGATGCAAAAACACTTCTGAGAGAGCTGCACTGGCTGCCGGTGCGTGCTCGCATAGAGTACAAAATCGCAACTTTGTGCTACCGCTGCTTACATGACCTGGCGCCGTCCTATCTGAAAGAGCTGCTTACGCCTTATGTACCCACTAGAGAGCTCCGCTCATCCGATAGTGGCAAACTCTCGACACCACGTGTTTGCCTTGAGACTTACGGAAAGCGCACGTTCGCATGTGCTGGTCCAACAATTTGGAACGCCCTTCCTGTCGATCTCAGAAACAACCAGACACTGGAGTCCTTTAAAACCAATTTAAAGACACACCTATTTCGCAAACACCTTCTGGGATGATTGTCTACCTTATTTTCCATGTGTTGCTGTGTTGCTCCGGGTTGAAATGGCTAGAAAGACTTTGATATTGTATACTTGTAATTAGTTTTTGTAGTGTTGCGTTTGTTTTAAATGTGGTAAATTATAGATTTCTATTTTGTTGACTTTGTACCGCGTTTCGAGCCTTTGGGGATGAAGCGTGTTTTTGAAATGAACTTTATTATTATTATTATTATTATTATTAAATATATGAAAGCAACGCTTTATATTCAAGATGATTAGCTGCAATCTATGATGTCATGGAGGCAAAATACAAACAACTTCTACTGAAGGCAGAAGTATGTTGCTTGTTTGAGAGGGAAAGTTTCATCAAGTGTTTTGAATAACGAAGGAAGATTACCGAATTTCTGATAGAGGAAAAAAAACAACATCAACAGATTGTTCAGAACTTGGCATTGGATTTCCAAGTTAACTTACTTTACATAAATGAGCTCAACACATATATAAATGATAAGGTGGCTTCGCACTTAACAATGGCTGACAAGATCGATGGTCATGATAAAAAGCTAGAGTCATAGAAAAGTCGGGTGTCAGAAAACTGTTTTAATATCATTCACAATATGACAGAAACCATCATTGAATCATCATGCAGAGGAAGCGATTGACAACACATCTCTACAAAAGGTCATAGCTGAACACTTGACAAACATAATTAGACTTTTCGAATTTTAATTTCAAAGAGAAGATAATCCGTGGATATGACTTTGATGGATACGAGATCCATCTATTGTATCAAAGGCTGATTCGAATGTCAATTTGCTAGAAATTTTGTTTGATCTAGCTGCTGGAAATCGGTTGAATAAAGATTTCACCATCTTGACATCATGCAAAAGTTTCCTATCCTTGAAAGACCCTGTTCCAATATCCTTCAACTTACCCTTGGGAAACTGGCTCTTTGTCAGAGATCATTTGACAGAATGTGTGTAGCAATATCTACAATCCAGCAACAATTTGATTTGCTTGCCAATAAAAAGCACTGTCCACATGAAATAATCATTTTTAGCTAAAATGTTTTTGTAGCACCAACATTCGATTTGTATTCCCAATTAAAGCTCATTTTATAAATATGTAAAACAATCAACTGCTATTTAGGTTTTTGAAACTTTTTAAAATAGCTTTAACAAAATAAATCAATTAACGGCTAGCTCGAAACAATTGTAATTAATCGAGTCCTTTCAAATCGGCTGAAAATGGATTACTTTATGACATATTTAAAGTAAAATAAAAGAACGATAATTTATATAACTGGCACCGGTATCTGGGGCAATGAAAAACCTGTCAACCGATCCGGAAAGCTTAGGAGTTTGGCATAAGCTGATCTAGAGAGCTTAAGCTCTTCTCTCCCCCAGAATAGCGATTAGCTTTAGTGAAAAGTTTCAATTTTTGTCTGGATCTCTGATTTATGTCTGCAACCACAACCCCAGCTTCTATACTGGTTGAATCAACACGCATGGTAAACGCGTGATTTGAACTTAGAACAACTTTCGGTATAGAGACAGACAACCTATCATGTAAGGAAACAACGATTTAATGCTCCAGTCAGTCGTCTAGAACCTCTAATAATAATAAATACGCTTAATATCAATGCGATGGACGTATTGACCAGGCAAAAAAAAAAAAACTTACAATATTTTCGAATTTCGGCATATGCCACAATTTGCCAGGCTTCAGGCCCGGGTCGTTCTTGAACATCCTCAGGGTGTAGGCGTGGTTTTCCTTCCAAGGGTCAGGCTACAGATGTGCAGATGTTAATAAAATGTGGATCTACATAAATAATAATAATAATAATAGTTTATCTTGTAGTACTAAGACGCATATCTCAGACATTTAAAAATCGTTTTGTCTGTTGGATTCACTGGTGGTTGGTATTATGGGGAAGACGACCATACATTGAAACTCTTGCTATAATGGTACTGCTTTCATTTTTACAAATCTCTTCTTCATAAAAAAATATTATTGACATAAATTTAAAAAATCACTTAAGAACATCTTAAACAAGATTACATTTTTGAAATCCAAATGTAAGCGAAATAATTTTTCGGTAATTTGTTGTGGGAGCATTTACCTTGTGAATTGATCGTGTTTTTACAGTAAAAATGATCGGATTTTTCTTTTGTTATGCACACTCGTAGATCCTTAAAACTATCAAACTTTATGTTGACAGATTTACCAACATAATTTGATATAAAGATGCGAAGATGGTTTTAAAATAGGAGGATAACATAATAAAAATAATAGCTTTTAAAAAGGCCCAAGAAAGTTACCTTTCCACATTTGGGACGAGATTCCATACATGGTCGTACACAGTTCAACCAATCTTTGTGTTCCTGGTTGGTGATCAAGTCTGCGACGGTGTTGGTGTACCTCGAAGGTAAATAACAAACTGAGCTAAGTTGAGGCTCTCATGGATTTGTATCTAACCTAAAACATTCTTACAACATGTTCGCTTGCTCCTAAACCGAAAAAATGGCAGTAACCGGGTTAGTTCTGCAAGGTGAACATCTTGCTAGGTGTTTATTTTTATTTTCGTCAGGCCTTTCCCACTATATCTTGCATGTCCTCCAATTACATACCATTGGTTGAAACATTAGCACTACAAGGGATGAACTTAGATTATTAAATACTTTTTATACAAGTGAATATGTGCATGGAGAGTTGGCAAAAGGGACAAGACTTATTGAATGGTCACGGCTGCGATTTATGGACGTTTGCAAGAGGGGCACGAGGGAAGCGAACATAGAAATCAACGAATGGGAGATCATCGCTAAGCAACGTTCCAACTGGTAAACAGCAATGTATGAAGAAGTCAAAAAGCCAGAAGATGCGCAAAACGAAGCCCTTTCAACAAAAAGAGCAATACAGAAGGCCAAATCGGTTACTGGAAATTCGTTTGAGCGAAATTTCGTCGACGGAAAATTGATTGACGGAAATTTTATCGAACGGAAATTTGGTTGAATGCTGGAAACACTAGGCTGGTCACCATTGGAGGAACGACGACGACTATCCAGGCTCTCCATGATGTACAAGATAAATAATGGGCTGGTCCACTGCTCCAGCATCAAACAGAAACTCGTCCCTCTCCTCCATAGACAGCGACGAGGCCATTACAGGCAATGCCAGCTCAAACCAGCGAGAAGCCAGTATAGGAACTGCTCATTCCTGCCAAAGACAATCAGGGACTGGAACGAGCTTTCAAAAGGAACAGTTGAGGCGACAACACTTGACACATTTGCGTCTATTGCCTCAGGCCTTCCAAACCCCAGTGCATGATAAACTCACTAAGTGGCCCTTGTAACCAATGAAATATCCTCATCAACACCAGGCACAGAAACATTGCAAATCTCCTCTACATGCATAGGAGCCAAAATGATCTATAAATTGATCGTGGGCACTTAATATATATAAGAAGAAGCAGAGGCTACAAGTATGGTATGTGGTGTCAGAACATAATTTTCTGTACTACATGTATAACTTTATTTTAAAAATCTTCTTTTAATTACAATTTACTGGAGCTAAACGGCATCTAGCATGAATTGTTAACATTTAAATAATTAGTTGTCAATGACAACATTATTGATCTCTGTCGAATTTAAGACAATATAACAAAACAAAGATTGCCTAACACAACGGCCTATAAGCTCCGACAAGTCAAGTTTAAGTATGGATTGCCCTCCTTAAAACCCCACCAACCCACTTTCTATTTTTTCCAGTAGACCATCCATTGCAGTGTTACCTTGTAGGTGCTCCGAAAATTGACGAAGAGTCCAGGGATATCGGCATTGCCTTACCCCTCGTACAAAATTCTTTGTCTTTCTTTGAGAACCTCCGGCTGTGGGTGTTACGAAAGTCTCGTAGCTCCTGCTCTTGAGTTATTCCAGCAGTTATTGCCGCTCTGTTCAGAGCTAGAAAATTTGTAGAGCATCTTGTAGGCTGGGGATGTTAAAATGATTTTGAAAAATAATATTTAAAATTGTGTCACCTGGCTTCTGTTAACATCCAGTTTGTTAAAAAAAAGAAAAGAAAAGAAGAACTGGTGAAAGTCGCATTTTAAACCATATTTCGTGGGTGTGGAATGGCATTTGTCCACGTACATGTGGCATTGGTCCACGTACATTCACAATGTTTTACGACCTATTCCTAACAGTTTGCATTTAAAATATATTTTTTTCAACATATTAAAAGTCGGTTGCTGGTCCATGGGGAATTAGTAATATTATTTTTTTTTTAGAAATCATTCCCCCTCTTTTTCCATTTTGGTGTAAAATTTGACTTTTACATCAGCACATGTAATACATTCGTGGTCCTTAAAAAACCTTCTTCCACAGCTGATAAGGCTCACTTGCACGGGTTGTTAGATCTTCGACTGTATCAAACATACATTTCCATTGTTCATTGCTTGTCAAATACGATTTTCTATGAGATAAAAAAAATCAAATAAAAATGATAAGACGGAGAACTGCTCACCCGTTTCCTCAGGACCCAGGTTTTGTGCTCAGGGAGGCATCCAGACCATCCAGCCAGAGCTGGATATGTGGAGACAAATAAAAAAAAAACGTGGAGGCAGGATCAGACAAATTGAGACTAGTGGTGACTAACTGAGACATGTGGGACAAAGTCAAACCCAAACTGATACATTTGGAGACTATGCATTTGTGTGATGACATGAACATTTGTACATGCGAATACACGTTAATACTTGTGAAGATTAGTAGAGGCATGAAGGCGACATTTAGAGAAATACGAGACTTGTGGAAAATTAGGTCGTTTCATGTACATGAGGTGAAATAACCTTTTTGCATCTCTTTCTTTGACACAAGCTAGCTTACTTTAACAATTATATACACCACCATCAAAAAATTTAAATTACATCAAATATAATGTGGATTCTAGAACAACATTAATCCACATTACATAACAACTTTAGTCATTCCACCTATAAGCTTAATCTAAGTCTCCCTTTACAAACCCAGTACACACCGCCATGCGACAATGACCATATAATACACCTCACCGTGTGAAGCTGTCCAGGTAATTTTAGGTAAGCTTCCAAACGTGTAGTCATCACATGGCATTTCTCTGGAACATCTTTTGTGGATGCCCAGTCGTGACTAGTTGTGAAGAAATTACAATTATTCTTATACACTGGTATTTTCCCGTCAAAATGACACGAAAATGAACATATTTTTTTTAACAATGTATTATATTTTCTATATTATATATTATTTTAATATCGCATCAATCATCGGTGCATTTTTTAGATATTTTTAAAGAAATATATAATAAAACCCAGAAAAAAATAGGATGATGAAAATAAATGTAGGTACACCTGGCGATCTGATATTTTTCTTTCTTGTGGCAGGTTAGAATTTTACTGACAACACCGCAGACAAAATTATCAATATACTGCAACTAAAATTTGTATCATCTTCTTTTATTTGGATAATTTCTTGGAGATATGGGTATTCAACGAAAATATCGAATTCATTAAAGATGTACAATTAACAGATGATTATAATAGCATACGATGTCTATTCAAACCTTGAATAAAAGTGGATTTTTCATCATGGAAGAACGATGCTGCCCCAAATATCCTGTCTTTGTGTCGTTGTAGGGGTTCAATGGATTCTCCCAGGGGTCGTCTACGGGTAAATTTTGTTTGATCTTACGACATTCACAACCTGCAATATCTGTTTGACACACGTCGATCCTAGGCAAGGGATAGAAATCAATGGAAAACGATACTCTCTAAAATTGTTCTGTTAATTGTTAAAATGATCATTTCATGTTTTTCAACACGTTTAATCTTTTGAAATTATAATTATTATTGATGAGTTGGTTTAAGTTAATTCAGTAACGTAACCAAAAAACAAGGGTAAAAAATAAATTATTTGATATTTATTTTAATTTGATTATTAAAAATTGATGGTTGATTTTTCTCGAGGGGAACTAATCAACTGGGATGTATGTTTGTGTTTATTGATATGAGATTATTTCTCCTGGAATCGGATCCCAATCAATTACAATATTTGGAAATGAATTATTTTGACTTGGTTTAAACTAGAAAATTTGAATTTTAAATTATGTTTTAAAAAAGGCATTTGCTGATTCAGTAGATTCAGCATTTATTTCAAACTGGCAATAAAATGGTAGGCCACACAATTGAGATGATATGAAAAATCACGAAATGTATGATTAAATTTTAGTCGAAACCCTATTAAGTGAGTAAGTATTAAACAAGTAGGCTAGAAATCATAATAAAAATAATATCTTTATTAAGTCAAAAAATGCCTAATTAACAAAGGTAATATAATACTTTAAAAATAATTTAACAGGAATAACATTCATTAAAGGGTTCGTTTTCATTTAAAAGAGAATTATTTAACATTAAACTATTCAAATTCATAGAAGTTCGTTTCAGTTACTTTGCCAAACAATAATTTATTAATATATATTACACTAATTAGTTGATTGCATACCTTTTAGGACACGGCTGAACAATACACTTGCATTCGCAGTTGTCATCGCATGCTATGTTTTTACACATCAACTGACCTCGAAATTTGGGAGCGCATGCGTACTTGGCGCATTTCGTGGCGCAAAGATTGTGTTCCTGCTCGTGAAGCATTGTACCTTACTGTTTGTGCCTGACTGTTAGAGAGTAAAAGAATTAAGCATTGTACCTTACTGTTTGTGCCTGACTGTTAGAGAGTAAAAGAATTAAGCATTGTACCTTACTGTTTGTGCCTGACTGTTAGAGAGTAAAAGAATTAAGCATTGTACCTTACTGTTTGTGCCTGACTGTTAGAGAGTTAAAGAATTAAGCATTGTACCTTACTGTTTGTGCCTGACTGTTAGAGAGTTAACGAATTAAGCATTGTACCTTACTGTTTGTGCCTGACTGTTAGAGAGTAAAAGAATTAAGCATTGTACCTTACTGTTTGTGCCTGACTGTTAGAGAGTTAAAGAATTAAGCATTGTACCTTACTGTTTGTGCCTGACTGTTAGAGAGTTAACGAATTAAGCATTGTACCTTACTGTTTGTGCCTGACTGTTAGAGAGTAAAAGAATTAAGCATTGTACCTTACTGTTTGTGCCTGACTGTTAGAGAGTTAAAGAATTAAGCATTGTACCTTACTGTTTGTGCCTGACTGTTAGAGAGTTAACGAATTAAGCATTGTACCTTACTGTTTGTGCCTGACTGTTAGAGAGTAAAAGAATTAAGCATTGTACCTTACTGTTTGTGCCTGACTGTTAGAGAGTTAAAGAATTAAGCATTGTACCTTACTGTTTGTGCCTGACTGTTGGTGAGTTAAAGAATTAAGCATTGAACCTTACTTTTTGTGCCTGACTGTTGGTGAGTTAAAGAATTAAGCATTGTACCTTACTGTTTGTGCCTGACTGTTAGTGAGTTAAAGATTTAAGCATTTTATCGACTGTTTGTAACTTTCTCATTGTTTCTGACTGAGTGTACCTGCTTGTATCTGACTAATTGTACCTATTTGTACCTGGCTCCTATAACAGAATGTTTGACCCTGACTGATTGAACGTGACCAATTTTACCTTACTTACAGTGAGTTACAGTTGTAAGCAGTGACTATTTAAGAGACTAAGTTGTTAGTGGGGCTGTAAAGTTCATGTATTTATTTTATTTGATACATTCCTATAAGGACGACTAAAACAAATGAAATTTCTAAAAAAAAAAAAAAAATATCTGGCACAACCAATGACTTGTTTTATTTGGCACAACCAAGAAAGTGTTTTATTTGGAACAACCAATGACGTGTTTTATTTGGCACAACCAATGACGTGTTTTATTTGGCACAACCAATGACGTGCTTTATTTGGCACAACCAATGACTTGTTTTATTTGGCACAACCAAGAAAGTGTTTTATTTGGCACAACCAATGACGTGTTTTATTTGGCACAACCAATGACGTGTTTTATTTGGCACAACCAATGACGTGCTTTATTTGGCACAACCAATGACGTGTTTTATTTGGCACAACCAATGACGTGTTTTATTTGGCACAATAAAGGAAGTGCTTTATTTGGCACAACCAATGAAGTGTTTTATTTGGCACAACCAATGACGTGTTTTATTTGGCACAACCAAGGAAGTGCTTTATTTGGCACAACCAAGGAAGTGCTTTATTTGGCACAACCAATGACGTGTTTTATTTGGCACAATCAAGGAAGTGCTTTATTTGGCACTACCAATGACGTGTTTTATTTGGCACAACCAATGACGTGTTTTATTTGGCGCAACCAATGACGTGTTTTAATTGGCACAACCAAGGAAGTGCTTTATTTGGCACAACCAATGACGTGTTTTATTTGGCACAACCAATGACGTGTTTTATTTGGCACAACCAATGACGTGTTTTATTTGGCACAACCAATGACGTGTTTTATTTGGCACAACCAATGACGTGTTTTATTTGGCACAATCAATGACGTGTTTTATTTGGCACAACCAAGGAAGTGTTTTATTTGGCACAATCAAGGAAGTGCTTTATTTGGCACAACCAATGACGTGTTTTATTTGGCACAACCAAGGAAGTGCTTTATTTGGCACAACCAATGACGTGTTTTATTTGGCACAACCAAGGAAGTGCTTTATTTGGCACAACCAATGACGTGTTTTATTTGGCAAACCAAGGAAGTGCTTTATTTGGCACAACCAATGACTTGTTTTATTTGGCACAACCAATGACGTGTTTTATTTGGCACAACCAATGACTTGTTTTATTTGGCACAACCAAGAAAGTGTTTTATTTGGCACAACCAATGACGTGTTTTATTTGGCACAACCAATGAAGTGTTTTATTTGGCACAACCAATGACGTGTTTTATTTGGCACAACCAAGAAAGTGTTTTATTTGGCACAACCAATGACGTGTTTTATTTGGCACAACCAAGAAAGTGTTTTATTTGGAACAATCAAGGAAGTGCTTTATTTGACACAACCAATGACGTGTTTTATTTGGCACAACCAATGACGTGTTTTATTTGGCACAACCAATGAAGTGTTTTATTTGGCACAACCAATGAAGTGTTTTATTTGGCAAAACCAATGACGTGTTTTATTTTGCACAACCAATGTCGTGTTTTATTTGGCACAACCAATGAAGTGTTTTATTTGGCACAACCAAGAAAGTGTTTTATTTGGCAAAACCAATGACTTGTTTTATTTGGCCTAACCAAGGAAGTGCTTTATTTGGCAAAACCAATGAAGCGTTTTATTTGGCACTACCAAGGAAGTGCTTTATTTGGCACAACCAATGAAGTGTTTTATTTCGCACAACCAATGACGTGTTTTATTTGGCACAACCAATGACGTGTTTTATTTGGCACAACCAATGACGTGTTTTATTTGGCACAACCAATGAAGTGTTTTATTTGGCACAACCAATGAAGTGTTTTATTTGGCACAACCAATGACGTGTTTTATTTGGCACAACCAATGACGTGTTTTATTTGGCACAACCAATGACGTGTTTTATTTGGCACAACCAATGACGTGTTTTATTTGGCACAACCAATGACGTGTTTTATTTGGCACAATCAATGACGTGTTTTATTTGGCACAACCAAGAAAGTGTTTTATTTGGCACAACCAAGTAAGTGCTTTATTTGGCACAACCAATGACGTGTTTTATTTGGCACAACCAATGACGTGTTTTATTTGGCACAACCAAGAAAGTGTTTTATTTGGCACAATCAATGAAGTGTTTTATTTGGCACTACCAAGGAAGTGCTTTATTTGGCACAACCAATGAAGTGTTTTATTTGGCACAACCAAGGAAGTGCTTTATTTGGCACAACCAATGAAGTGTTTTATTTGGCACAACCAAGGAAGTGCTTTATTTGGCACAACCAATGACGTGTTTTATTTGGCACAACCAATGACGTGTTTTATTTGGCACAACCAATGACGTGTTTTATTTGGCACAACCAATGACGTGTTTTATTTGGCACAACCAATGACGTGTTTTATTTGGCACAACCAAGGAAGTGCTTTATTTGGCACAACCAATGACGTGTTTTATTTGGCACAACCAAGAAAGTGCTTTATTTGGCACAACCAATGACTTGTTAAATTTGGCACAACCAAGAAAGTGTTTTAATTGGAACAACCAATGACGTGTTTTATTTGGCACAACCAAGAAAGTTCTTTATTTGGCACAACCAATGACGTGTTTTATTTGGCACAACCAAGAAAGTGCTTTATTTGGCACAACCCAGGAAGTGCTTTATTTGGCACAACCAATGACTTGTTTTATTTGGCACAACCAAGAAAGTGCTTTATTTGGCACAACCAATGACGTGTTTGATTTGGCGCAACCAATGACGTGTTTTATTTGGCACAACCAAGGAAGTGCTTTATTTGGCACAACTAAGGAAGTGCTTTATTTGGCACAACCAATGACGTGTTTTATTTGGCACAACCAAGAAAGTGCTTTATTTGGCACAACCAATGACGTGTTTTATTTGGCACAACCAAGAAAGTGCTTTATTTGGCACAACCAATGAGCACAAAATAAACCGTGTTGGTAGAAAGTGCTTTATTTGGCACAACCAATGACGTGTTTTATTTGGCACAACCAAGAAAGTGCTTTATTTGGCACAACCAATGACGTGTTTTATTTGGCACAACCAATGACGTGTTTTATTTGGCACAACCATTGACGTGTTTTATTTGGCACAACCAAGAAAGTGTTTTATTTGGCACAACCAATGACTTGTTTTATTTGGCACAACCAAGAAAGTGCTTTATTTGGAAGAACCAATGACTTGTTTAATTTGGCACAACCAGGAAAGTGTTTTAATTGGAACAACCAATGACGTGTTTTATTTGGCACAACAAAGAAAGTGCTTTATTTGGCACAACCAATGACGTGTTTTATTTGGCACAACCAAGAAAGTGCTTTATTTGGCACAACCAAGGAAGTGCTTTATTTGGCACAACCCAGAAAGTTCTTTATTTGGCACAACCAATGACTTGTTTTATTTGGCGCAACCAATGACGTGTTTTATTTGGCACAACCAAGGAAGTGCTTTATTTGGCACAACCAATGACGTGTTTTATTTTGCACTACCAAGGAAGTGCTTTATTTGGCACAACCAATGACGTGTTTTATTTGGCACAACCAAGAAAGTACTTTATTTGGCACAACCAATGACGTGTTTTATTTGGCACATCGAAGAAAGTGTTTTATTTGGTACAACCAATGACATGTTTTATTTGCCACAACCAAGAAAGTGTTTTATTTGGCACAACCAATGACTTGTTTTATTTGCCACAACCAAGAAAGTGCTTTATATTGCACAACCAATGACGTGTTTTATTTGGCACAACCAAGATAGTGTTTTATTTGGCACAACCAATGACGTGTTTTATTTGGCACAACCAAGAAAGTGTTTTATTTGGCACAACCAATGACTTGTTTTATTTGGCACAACCAATGACGTGTTTTATTTGGCACAACCAATGACGTGTTTTATTTGGCACAACCAATGACGTGTTTTATTTGGCACAACCAATAACGTGTTTTATTTGGCACAACCAAGAAAGTGCTTTATT